GGGAGGAAAGGACTCCCTCCTTCCTTATAAGTTCTTTTATTTTTAAATAAATAAATAAATAATATATATATATATATATATATATATATATATATATATATATACATAATAATAATAAATTGGCCTAAAAAAATTAGACTCTGTACAACTGCCCCTCCTTCCACGCTCCTTATGTTTACATATTAATATCAATAAGATGTCAATCACTTAATATGTATGTATATGTAATCGTTTAAGGAAACACTGTAACCAAAACCATAGTCATTGATTAAATACCGGTGGTCATGAGATATAATGAGACAAAGGTACACGAATAAAATACTATTCGAGTATTAAACTTATATAACTATATACTAGTTCCAAATTAATATTAATAAGATGCCAATCACTTAATATGTACGCATATGTAATCGTTTAAGGAAATATTGTAACCAAAACCATAGTCATTGATTAAATACTGTGGTCATGAGTTATAATGAGACAAAGGTACATGAATAAAATACTATTAGAGTATTAAACTTATATAACAATATATTTACTTATTTAGCAATTATCAACGATAAAGTGTTTTTTTTTGGAATTGTTAAGATTACAACTATGATCCTAAGATGTTTCTTGTTTGAAACATTGTGGTTATCTTTCTTAAGTTATTTTCTTTGTCATCCATTATATGCTACATTGTCTTATTCTCTATTTTTATTACAAAGGAATCTGTTTAATTAATTCTTGGACCCTTAAAGTATTTTTATAATAATAATAATAACTATTTCAGTAAATAAAAAGCCATTGTTGTTAATTATTATAACTTATATTGGTTAATTTCAAGAGAGTTTTTATATTTTTATGTGTGTTTGCTTAAAAGAGAGTTATTTATTTTGATAAAATTTGAGGAATGCTCCTGCCGTTGCATAGATTAACTATGAAATAATTTTTTTTTGAACAGCAGCAACAAATATAATAAAAAAAAAAACAAATCTCTAGCAAGAAGCTAGAGAAAAGAACAAGTTAAGGTTGGATTGGATTTAGTAACCACATCGTCCAATTAACCCGAGCCTTAGAATTCCGAAACGAAAACCAATGAAAAGAAAGATCCACAACAGAATCAAAAAGTCTATCTTTTCTAGGCTTAATGCTACTAAAAAGTAAGGAATTACGAAACGTCCAAAGCACCCATATAACCACCATGAACACCGACTCAACAATCGAGCACTCCATATGAATAGTCGATCTCGAATCCACCCAATCCATGACGTCACGGATAGAAGAGAACACAGGAAAGTCCAAATGAAGCCACTGCCCAACCCGACTCCACACCTGATCAGCAACCGAACACTGCAACAACAAATGATTCACACTTTCTTGAGAGTTATGGCACACAGGACACAATAAGGAATCTATCGCCACCCCCCTTTCCACCAATTTAGTTCTAACCGGAATGCGATCCAAAAGCACACGCCATAAAAAGATATTAATTTTAATAGGAACAAAACGGTTCCACCTCGTAGGCGTACTACCCATAGGAAGCGTCATATCATCAACCCAGTGCCTTGCTGATTTAACTGTAATAAATTTTAATAGGACAAAACGGTTCCACCCGTAGGCGTACTACCCATAGGAAGCGCTCAACCCAAGCACTTAATGTAAAAATACCTGACGGGTCAAGCAAGACCACTTATCTGGCATCTCCCCTATACGAATATGATTTAAAAACTCCACCAGATCATCAAATTGGGTCGATTCAGCACCTCCTCTAATCCCCCGTCGCCAATGAAAATTCCATCCCCCCGAATCCCAATAATCGCTAACCTGAGCATCTTGATTAAAGGCCAAAGCAAAAAGCCTCCCAAACCGTTCTTTAAGAGGAATATCCAAGCACCAAACATCCTTCCAGAACCTCGTTTGGGTCCCATTTCCCACCACTCTATGCATGAGATTAGAAGGAATACAACCATTCTCATGAAGATGATTAATAGATCTAACAATCTTTTGCCAAACACCCCCTCCACTTCCAATTCTAGAATCATCTGACAAACCACCACCTTCCCCATGACAAAATTTGACAATTTAAACCCAAAGAGCTCCTTTGTCATTAAGAAATCGCCACTTCCATTTATAAAGAAGACCGAGGTTAAAAGCATCCAAACTACCAACCCCGAGACCTCCATGAGAATATGAATTCAAGATCAACTTCCAATTAACCCAATGAATACGATGCTGACCTTCCTCCACTCCCCAAAAAAACCGAGCCCTTAGAGACTCAAGAGATTGACAAACAGTCGCAGGAAGACGAAACAAAGAGAAGAAGTAAATACCCAAACTCCCTAAGACCGACTTAATAAGAGTCAAACGACCTCCAATGGACAACAACTTGACCTTCCAAGAAGATAACCTCTTCTTAAAACGATCGATGATCATCTGCCAACCTTTAAGACGAACCATAGATTCTCCAACCGGAATACCAAGATAAACAAAAGGGAGAGTTCCAGCCGAACACCCGGTATAGGAAGCTAAATTAGCAGTCTCTGTCGAATTAACCCCTACCCTGTAAAGATTTGATTTATTAAGATTGAGATTAAGGCCCGACACCAAGTAAAAGCACCTCAGAATACGGATCAAATTCTGAATATTAGAAACATCCCATTCCCCTAGAAAAATTACGTCATCTGCGTAAAACAAGTGAGAAATGCGAACCTCATCAGAACCTATAGGAGCACCCCGAAATATCCCTTCAGCTACCGCATCCTCTAAGGCAATATGAAGCCCTTCCATAGCTATGATGAATAAAAAAGGAGAAAGGGGATCTCCTTGTCTAAGACCTCTAAAAATCTAAAACTCATCAGTGGGGCTCCCGTTAATCAGCACCGAAGATCTAACACTAGAGCACAAACCACGAATCCAGGCTCTCCATTTCTCACCAAAGCCGAGAAACCCCATAATCTTATCAAGATACTCCCAGCTCACAGAATCATAAGCCTTTTCAAAATCAACTTTAAACATCATCAGCTTTTTCTTTTTCATTTTAAACCACCTCAGTAGCTCATTAATCATCAAAGGCCCATCAAGAATTTGACGGGACTTAAGAAAAGCCGATTGCTCTAACCCAATAATATCATGGAGAACAGGAGCCAACCTATTAGTCATCAATTTTGCAATAATCGTAAATTGCAGCCCAATGAGACTAATAGGGCGATAATCCTTGATACAAAGAGGATTATCAGATTTGGGGATCAAAGTAATAAAGGATGAATTACACCCCTTCGGGAAAACCGGTTTGGCAAAAAACTCTTGCGCAAAAGCGATGACATCGTCTGCAAGAATCTCCTAGAAGTGTCTGAGAAAACGAAATGTAAAGCCATCTGGACCAGGGGCACAATCTACACCACAATCCCAAACTGCATTCTTAATCTCTTCAGCCGTGAATTCCACCTCAATAGAAGAAGCAACCCTAGGATCCAACGACTTGAATCTAGGACTTCGACGATCAAAACTAACACCAAGAATAGGCTGAAACTTGCATGCATAAAAATCGAAAAAAGCCTTCTTAATACTAGCAGGGTCCGAAATCCACTCCCCATCAATAGTAACCCTTCTAATCATCAACTGCCTTCTACGTTTTTTCAGTAATGCATGAAAAAACGCAGAATTCTCATCTCCCTCCACAGCCCACGTAGCCTTAACCTTTTGAGCAACATCCAGCGATCTAACTTTTTCTAAATTCGCTAAATCCCCAAGAATTCCTCTTCTTTCACAAATAAGGTCATCACTAGATTGTCCATCATCAATAAAATTATCAATCTCTACTAATCGCCCCAACAACTGCGATGAAGAAAGATGTGCAGACGACCTAGTCTCCGCATTCCAAGATCGAATCCTTGCTTTAATAAATTTAAGTTTGTTTTTTAAAACAACAAACTTACTCCAATCCGAGTCGCTAACAAAATCAGCCACAGCTCCTTTAACCACATCATCAAAACCCTCCAGAGAAAGCCAAGAATTGAAGAATTTAAAAGGAGAAGGCCCAAAATCCATCGTATTAGAATGAAGCAGAATATGGCAATGATCCGACCATTTCCTATCCAACACCGATACCTGAAGATTATCAAAACAATCATAAACCGCATTCGAGACTAAGAACCGATCAAACTTGCTGAGTTTAGCACCTATGGTGTCAACTCTAGTAAACCGCTTTCCAACCATAGGCACATCAATTAGACCAGCATCATCAATGAACTCGTTAAAGAACTGAGCAGAAGTATGACAAAAAACAGAACCGAACCTTTCACCCGCCTCCCTAACAACATTGAAGTCTCCAAAAAAAACATAATTTCCTCCATTCCTTCTCATGAACGCCGAAAGATACCCCCAAAGATGTTGCTTTCCCACTAAATCTTGAGGAGCATAAATATTAACCATAAATCAGTTAATATTAAACGGAACCCACAAGCCTCCCACAATAACCACGTTACTAGTACAAGTGACACTGCTTTTAGTAAACACTTTCGGGTCCCACACAGAAAGAATACCACCCGATCTACCCCGAGCACTACTACTAGCAAAATCAAATCTATAATTACCCCACATACTTCGGATCTTGAAAAGATCAATTTGCGTCATTCTCGTTTCTTGCAAACCCAAAAAAGAAACTTCAAACTGCAAACAAAGTGCCTTACCCCAATTTCTTTTTAAAAAAGAACGGGTACCACATATATTTAAAGAAAGGCACTTCATTGGTCCACCTGTACCACACCAATACTAGATAAAATCTTTTTAACCCTTTCCTTATTAGTCTCCATATCATACACGAGAAGGCCACCCATCTCAAAATACTGCTTCAACACATCTTCTATGTCATCAACAACTACCGGGACTTTCTTTTTAAGAATTTTAGAAGACCCATGAGACGTAGAGGATTGATCTCGTCTATAACCGGGGTGGTTGTGATGGTGATTTGGCAGCCCCCTCCCCCTCCACATTAGTTACCAAATAAGCTGAATCACCCTTCATGTCACAACCATCCTCCATAACTGGAAGAGACCCCACCGGATTACATTTTTTTTCAACAACACCTCTTGTGACAGCAACATTAGGCATAAAAGACCCCCCCCCCCGTCCACAACTCCATTACCTTTTGCTTTTTCATTTGTTTGGAAAAATCTTCCTTTTCTATCAACAAATCCAGCTCCTCTGGCACCGTTAGTAGGTGTACTTTCCATGCTAAAAGAGTTCTCTTGCCTCTGATCAGCCTTATCGCCATTCTCTACATCAATAAAATCATTCACATCTTCCTCAAAACACGCATCTTCTTCCTCTCCCCCTGACAGGTCCGGAATGTCCGACTCTATTTCTCCCTCCTCCATAATATTTGGTTCCCAATTTGAAATTTCACGCACCCCCACCCCATATTCAACACCTTTAGCAACCACCTTAACCATATCTTGAATCAAAAAAGGTTTCGCAGTCTTAATACACACACGTTTGACCGCTAAAGGAGCGTCCCCATCCTCTTCAATAAACAAACCTCACCCCACATAGAAGCCACCTTTTTAACCGCAACATCATTCCAAGCACAACATGGTAAACCCACCATCTCCAACCAAATAGCACGTTCTTTAACGAAAAAACCATTAACAACCGGTCTAAAGACTGAGAAATAAGCCTTAACCGCCTCGGATTTCATAAACCGTGTACAAGTAGCTTCCGATACAAAAGAAATATAAACCCAATCGCTAGAAACATACTTAATAGCGATTTCCGGAAAACCTTCTTCTTTCAAAAGAATACCCAACTTAGGAATCAATCGAAGCTTGCCAAATACTGATACTTTCAATGACAGTGGATTATCAATCTCTTGTCCTTGTAAAATACATTCAAGAACTGGGCCATTATTAGTTTTCTCAACCTCCTGACCCTTTAAGACATTGGCATACGAACTATAGTTTGCAACAGCATGCGCATTCATTTTCTTCACCTGCTTAACTGCATTATTCTCAACAGAATTATGTGAGACAGCCTTCTCCTTTTTATTCAATCCACCCGTGTTACTAACATCTCGACTAAACCGAGCCACAGAAGCAAATAAGTGGTATGATGACATCCAAATGTCTCTAAGTTTTTGTTCTAACAGTAATTCATCCTTAACTTTGATAAATCGAACGAATGCGAATCGCTTACCGATTTTTGATAGTTTCCTAGCAGTGTAGATATCAACCACATTCCCAACCTTATCACACTCCTCCCATAAGGACTTAACGTCTGCATCAGGAGGGAAGTTAGTCACAAAGAAAGGCTTGGAAACATTCTCGAGCCTTCTGTGATTCATTGAGGCTGTATGCGATTGGTGCCCCCGTTCATTACCAACCATCAAGAGTCAGCAAGAAAGACAGAAGAAGTCTAGGCGAGAAGAAGGAATCAGTGGCGTTTGACCCCGCCGGAGCCGATGACGAAGACGCAAGGAGGCGTCCGAAGTCGCCGGAGACGCTAACTATGAAATAATATTTTTGACACTATGTTCATATGTAAAATTGTAACTATTTAGATGAACGATATGATAAAATAAACAACTGTTATCGCTTAACAACATTTACTCATGGTTTACTCATGAATAAATTTAAATATAATACTTAATATAGTGTTAATTTTAACTCTTGTTATGATTACATGATTTAACATCACTTATTTGACTATTTTATCAATTTTTGCTTATTATTTAAAATATCAATGTTTATAAGGTAATGTAATGTAATTAATAATTTTATGTTATGGTAAATTATTATCATTAGTTAATTTTTAAACCACTTATTGTTATAAAAAGATTATAAAAAACTAAAATTTAGGTATATGGTTTTTTTATTTATTTTACATTAATTAACCAATTTATTTATTATTAGAAATTTGAAAGGTTGACACTTTCAAATTAATAAGGTGCAATGAATTTTTTCACTTTTATAGTATACTAGACGAATCCTAATGCGCAAGAATATATTTATAAAGTTTTTTTTAACGGCAAACACACACAATTATACAATTATTTAATCATTCTCTTAATTCTATAAATTGTGATTTAATATTTATAAATAAAAAAACAATGTTAATAAATGTATATAAAATAGATATTGATTTATATATATAACGAATAACAAATAGTATAAAAAATAAATATTTGATGATTTTATTGACCATTTTAAGGTTTGTAAATTGTAATAAAATTGTATGTAATTTATGTATTTATGAATAACAAATATGAAAAACATAAATACTACCTTTTAATAACATAAAAACACTACAATGTCTACTATAACATTTTAACAAAAAACCTTATTAAACACTAATAAATCATACAAAAAATATATAGAAGACACACATTATATATGTATATATATATATATATATATAATATATATATATATATATATATAGAGAGAGAGAGAGAGAGTGAGAATACTTATTGTTCCAAGAAAAATCCGCATAGTAATAACCATGATGCGGCAAAAAACTTTTTTTTTTCAACTCTTCATATTTTAATCACAAATATCTTAAAACATGTGATTGTTTGTGAGAAAAATAATTTATATATTACTAATACAGACAGAATCTATATAAATGAGAGGAAAATAAAAAATCACTACCAATTAATAACCATAAGTTAAAAAAAACTTTGGAGTTGTAGTGATTTATAACTTTACATTTGAAAGAGACACCTGTTAATTTCGTGACTGACCCGGCAGAAGGAAGGTCAACCCTCAGACCGGTTGACATTTTAATTTTTGGATGGGTCGGAGGGAAACACGCATGTGTGGACCTTATATGGGTATCCCCTCTAGTGGGCTTGAGAGCTAGGGGTTTCACAGCGGGACATGCTGCTTTAAAAGCTGTTACAGGCAAAGTCACCAAACATGAGAAATCGTGAATGGAAAATCAACACGTGTTCATACCATTTGCATTTGATACGTTTGGTTTCTCGCGTCGGATGCGGTAGAGCTTCTTAATAGAGTACAACGGATCATGCATAACAATGCTACATCCCCTAGATCTATGGATGTAATATTTAAAAGAATTAGTTTTACCATACAAAAAGGCTTAGCGGCGCAGCTTGTTGCCCGTTTGCCATCTCATTCATTGTACGATGATAATTAAATTAATATATATAAATCATTACATAAAAAAAATCACAAGTATACAAAAATTAGAAAACTCTTTTGTTGTGAGAATTTCAAATGAATTTGAATTAAGTAAATTTCCCGCATTGCGCAGAATATATATATATATATATATATATATAGATAATATATATATATATATATATATATAGGAGTAGGATCAAATGAGAACACCTAAAAGGTTGAGAACGCGAGAACACATCTGGCCCATTTAAATAATTAAATCTAAGGCTATTATCAAACGAGCAATTTATATAAAATTCTAAAAGTTATAGGTATTAAAGTGTAACTTTAAATGGTGATAAGTGTATTATAGTAATTGGACCTATACCATCGTTAGTTAATTCCTATAATTCCTCAATCACTCACCTATTTCCTTCCATTTCCCGTCTCTCTCTTTATCTATCTGTAAACCTAGGTACGCCTCCACCGTCTCCATCTGTTCATCATCATCATCTCATCCCCACGCCACCAATTTTGCACAGCCCTACATCATTTATCCACCACCATCGCTAGCATCGGGTTTAACCATCAACCTCCATCATCATCTTCGATTCAAGATGAGAAACCCATCAATTTTCAAGATATCTTCATCTCTTAGCCTACCTCCATCACACCTTCGATTTTCGTAGCCCTAATCAGACCCGCAAGTAGATTTCCAATCGGCCTCCTGTAATTCAATCTCAATCGGACCTCCAATCGATTCATGGAAAAACCGAGAGGGAGGTGTGTACCTGGTTCAGATCGCAATCGGATATCCGTCTTGAAACACACAAGAAGATGAAATCATTCTGCCTTTCTCTTTCAAACTAGCTATTGTTTCCAGATTTGGGACCTAGATTCATCATTGCTGAAGACAGGTGAAATCCTTCCTTCTTTTATTCGCTTATTTCTTTTCAATTGTAGCATCAATTGTTGGTCGTTTGGTTTAGTTTGATGGCTGGAGTGGTTTAACCAATTAACTTGCCTTTGGATGATTCATGGATGAATTTGGACATCCTGTACTTCTGAAAGACAATTAAATAAAGGTTGTATTAACCTTTTGTTCACTTATTTTATTGTCAAATAATCTAAAGTTCTTAAGTTATAATCTCACACCCACATTATTGTTTCCAGAACTCAGATTCATCATTTCCGAAGATGAAATCATTCCACATTTCTCTTAAGATTGCAATCGGACATCCATCTTAAACGACACAGGAAAATGAAATTGTTCTTCCTTCAATCGGAATACATTTCAAGCTGCTCTGAGACTGAGGCTTCCTTTAATTTCAAAAGATGGTGAGGTTTATAAGGAAGAAAGAGAGAAATGTTTTTCTGAAGATGTGAAGGGATTGTTTGATGAAAGGTTTCAAATTCAGATTTATGAAGATTTTTGCATGTTCTGTTAAATAAGGGTATTGTACTTGTTTATGATAGAATGTGTATTTATTTATGAATAGCAGTGTATTTATTTATGAATAGCAATGTATTCATGTGTGAATGGTTGTACGTATTTATGAATTTTAGTGTATTCATGTGAATGAGTGTATTTATTTATGATTAGAGGTATGCATTTTATGATAGAATGTGTATTAATTTATGAATAACAGTGCATTCATTTGTGAATAGAAATGTATTAATGTATAAATGATTGTATTTATTTATGAATAGTAGTGTATTCATTTCAATTGATGAAAAAGACATTGAATTATTTGTAATTTGATGTGTATTCATTTGTGATTGAAGTAGTATTTGGTTTTTTGAAGAAACATTTCGTTTGTGAATACAAGTGTAATGATTTGAAATTGGATTTCTATTCATTTTTTTTGAAAAACAAAAACGTGAAATAGGAGACTAAAATGATTTTTTTAAGATTTTTTTTTAAGATTTTAAATAAATTTGACTAAAAACGTTTTTTATATTCCATTAATAAAAAAATAAAAAATGGAATATTTCTTTTGTTTTTTTTGGTAACCGATCCTAAATTTAAGGGAATTTGATTGAATTTGATTTAATTTTAATTTAATTAAAATATACAGTTACTAATATGCCATTATATATTGATTGATCAAGAACTGTTCTCGCGTTCTCAACCTTTAGGGTTCTCATTGATCATCTCCCTATATATATAGATATAATATAATATATATATACTATATATATATATATATATATATATATATATATATATATATATATACACACACATACCTACATACATACACGCTATTCAAATAATCATATCGCTATTATTAACTTTGAAATAATTATATTTATACAAGTTGATATAAAAACTCATTATAGCATGTTTGATGCCTTTAAGGCATACAACAAAAAATATTAATAACATTAAACTAATTGTGAAAGAATACTTATTGTTCCATGAAAAATCCGCATAGTAATAACCATGATGCGACAAAACACTTTTTTTTCAACTCTTCATATTTTAATTAAAAATATCTTAAAACACGTGATTCTTTGTGAGAAAAATTATTTATATATTACTAATATGGATACAATGTATATAAATGAGAGGAAAATAAAAAATCACTACCAATTATTAACCATAAGTTACAAAAACTTTTGAGTTGTAGTGATTAATAACTTTATATTTGAAATCACAAGTATACACAAATTAGAAACTCTTTTGTTGTTGTGAAAATTTCAAATAAATTTGATTTATGTATAAAATATATATATATATAATATATAATATATATATATATAATATAGATATATTATATAATATATATAAATATTATATATTTTTATAGATATCTATATATATATATATATATCATATATATATATATAGACACACTAGAGACACATACATATATACACTATTAAAATAATCATATCACTATTATTAATTTTGAAATAATTATATTTATACGAAGTTGATATAAAAATTAACTATGACATGTTTGCTGCCTTTTAAGGCATATAATAAAAAATTATTAATAACATTAAACTAATTATGAAAGAAACTTTGTTAAGCTTGTAAACTTCTCATTTTAGGTCACTTCATATACGATTTGTACAACTTGTTATAACAGTGGAATTGAAATTAAGCTTTTATGATACAAATTATGGCCTATCAATATACTTAACATGTATTGTTTTAATCAATTACAATATGTGGTTTAAACAACCTTTTATACATGTACAAATGTAAATA